CAGCCTCCCCGCACACTGATAAACCGCTCTGGAGAAAAAGGAAACAGACAAAGGAAACACCTGATTCATGGTGGTCGATTTGACAGCCTCCCCGCACACTGATAAACCGCTCTGGAGAAAAGGAAACAGACAAAGGAAACACCTGATTCATGGTGGTCGCCAATTTCCCTGGTGTAAATATACCCCTCTTGTCAATTTCAAGCTGCATGTGAAGTCCCTGAATGTGGAACTGGGAAGAGATATGGGCAGTGGCAGGACCACGTGGACCCAGCCATTTCTGCCGGTCCCAGTCTCCAGCCCACCAAGCTCCTACAGCTTCTTCAGAGACACTATGCCCTTTCTCAGGAGAGGGCTCGTGGTTCCCACAGCCAGGAAAGCGGCCCCCACCTCTGGCCTTCGCACCTCTGTCAACCCTCCATCCCTCAGGCCTCAGCTCTAACGTCACTTTACACGAAGCCTGCCTTGACTCGCAGCCTAGGTCAGATTGTCTTCACTAAATGTGCTCTTCGAATGGTGCTCTCTCTTCTCCAGCCCTTACATCAGATTTTAGCTATTTATGGGAGTGTGTGGTTATTCATATTTCTCTCCCTCTGATGAGAGCAGAGCTTGTTGCCAAGGTGTCAGTGGGGCTAGCACAGTGCCTGGCATAGGGTAGGTGTGCTCTAAATACCTGCTGGGCCCTGGTGGCTGAATAGGAGTTTGCAAGGTGGGAAGGGGAAGAACAGCGTAGGCACAGGCAAGAAGCCCACGTCTGAGGGGCGTGTTCAGGAAATAAGAAAGCGGGCGGAGTGGTGTGGCTGGCACTCGAACTGCATGGCACGGAGGGGGCTTCTTCCGACGGGTGAGGAAGGTGGACTGGGCAGGAGGGTATTGGTGGTGGTGTTCTCGCCGACTGCATTTCCCAACCAAGAAAACTAAAGCTGGAGAAGTAGGAATCAGGGGATTTGGGAGAAATCAGGGCTGGCCAGAGTGTCGCTCCGTCCATCTCCTTTTCAGTTGAGGAGGCTGGGGAACCCTTCTTCCCACACTCCATGGCTCTTCTGTTCTACTCCCAGCCGATGACGCTGGGTGTGGAGACCTGCCTTGCCAATGCAAGAGGGCCCCCAGCTGGAGAACTGAAAGAAATCAGCCACGACCTAATAGAAATCAGGCAACAAAAAGAACAGTCTAGAAAGAATGCTGGCTCAGAGTGTGAACTCTGGCACTGGAACTGCCTGAGTTTGAATCCCAGGTTCGGTTACTGACTGCTGGGTTTGGGGACCTTAGACAAATTGCCTAATCTGTGTGATCCTGCTTCCTCATCTGTAGAATGGGAAGGACAATAGAGCTCAATTCCATGGGGCTGGGTCTTAAAAGAGATAGGAAGTATAAAGCACGTGGCACAGTGCTGGGCACACAGTAAGCGCTTGGTGTGTGCTGGCTCTTCTTACCACTGATGGGATTCTCTCTAGGAAGCAGGAGACTGTAGTGGCTCAGGTGAACGTAGATATTCTTGCATTTATCGTGATCCCAGGAAAAGAAAGAAAAGGAACGAGCTTTAGGGACTTCCTATTTGTTAACATTATTTCATCCATCCTCCCCATGGCTCTTTCTACTCTCATTGCTCAGTTGAGGCAGAAAGCTCAGAGAGGCTTCACTGGTCCAGGGTGGAAAAGCTAATTAAAGATAACACAACCATACCCAGACCTCCAAGACTCTTAGAGGGAATAAGCCTAGGGATGTGTCATCATTGGGAATTGCCCTCTTGTGGGCTAATCTTGAAAAACTCCCCACTTTAACTCACTCTTCATCCTTTGGCAGAGAACTTCTCCTCCCTGAACCCCAGGTTCCCTCAGCTGGAAAATCAGGGGTGTTTGTAACAGTCAGGGTAACTATCGCTAGCTGCTGTAACAAACAACCCCCTCGGCTCAGAGGCTTCACCCAAATGTCAGTGTGGTCGGGGGAGGTGGGGCGCTAGGGAGCAGGGCTCCTGTCACCTATTGAATCAGGCTCCCCCAGGGCCTGAGTTCACCACTAGCTCCTGAGCAAGTGGCCATGGGGACGGGGAGGGTGAACAAGGCACAAGGCTCTGACACGCCTCAGCCCACAGGTGCCAGACCTCACTTGCATTCACATTACTAGTCAAGGGCCCCACCTAGCTCACTGCAAGGGGGTGGGCAGCATAGTCCAGCCTTGTGCCAAGAGATAAGATAACCCAAACTCCAGTGCCACAGGGTTGGGCTGGATTCCGTGACCCTCACGGGCCACCCTTGAACACAGTAGTCAGGACTCCTGGGCCCCTCCCTCCTGCAGCCGGGGCCCTCCCTCCCCGAGCACCGTTCTGCCTCCTCCCTCCCTCCCAGGAAGAGAACCAGTCCCTGCCAACCCTCCTCCGAGGGTGGGTGGTTGGTGAGATAATGATCTTATCATACTTATTGCCTCTTGGAAGGCAGGTGCTGGAGAAAAACCAAGTCCGCTTTGGTTTTTCTCCCTGTTCCTTCACATTCCTTCCCAAGATAAATTTAGCCGGCTTTCTCTTTGAACGCAGTGCCCAGGATGCTGACTTTTTGTTCTCCAAGGCGAGGTGAGAGCGTTTTTTCGTGCCTACAGCCTCGGGCCAGAATGCAGACTTCAGGAGTACAGTCCTGGCCTCTGCCCTGCCCCAAACATCCGTGACCCTCCTCCCCACCCCTGCCCGGTCCCCGAGGACATCAGGGACCACATCTCCCGGACTGGGAACCTGAGTTCTCCAGTGATGTGAACAGAACACAGAATACAGAAGGGCTTTGAGATCTGGCTCCTTACCGGCCACCCAAATCCCAGAGACAGCAGGTTCACGGTTAAGAGCAGAGACTGGAATCCCGGCTCTGGCAAGTTACCTTCTTCTCTGTCTCCCCATCTGTAAAATGGGTCCCCCTGCTGGTGCAGCCCGGCCCACTCCATTCTGCCTGGGTCTGTGAAGCCCTCTGCCGCCGCCACCCAGACCCTAACTTAGCACATCTTTAAAGCTGGTCCAGCCCCTCCCCTCTCTCCTTGTCCTCCAGGTCTTTGCTTCTTTGGCATAAGTCGTTGGGCTTCTTTCATTCCTGGGGCCACTCCCATTTTTACTCTGGGTCTCAGTCTCAAGATCATCCTTTGGGGACCTTAGACAAATTGCCTCCCCTGCCTCTCCCTTTGGCTGCAAAGGCCATGGGACACACCTTCCCAGGTCAGGCTCCCCGGGGAACCTTTCCCTCACTGACTAGCTTTCGGCCTTAGCTTTTCAGCCTGGGGCTGCAGGTGCACCATGTGGGCACACAGGCTCCAGCCATGCCCAGGCACAGGCAGGCATGAAAACATGCAGCCCGGACTCCTTCCTGACCCAGTTAAATAAACTCTTCTTCCATTCCCGCTCTCTGATGGCCCATGGATGCCTCCCACTGCTGAGCCCACCGGGAACCAGAGGGCAGGGTGCTTGGTGGAGGGGAAGTCTGCAGACCAGGCTCCCAGGCCCTGCGGGGAAGGGCGGGCAGAGAACCTGTGTGGAGGGACAGGCAGAAGGCCCAACCCCGGATCTCGACAGGGCCCGTCTTAAATGGTGGGTCTCAGTGTTTACCCCTCTCACTAACAGACCCGTGGGGGGGGGGCATGAGCACCCCGAGGTCACAGACGTGAGCCATGAAGCTGTTCTGAGTCACATAGAAGGCCCCACTGCCAGCAAGGGGTGGAGCCAGGATTTAGATTCCTTGCTGCCTGCCTCCAGCGTTCAGATAGCCAGAGCAGACAATGGCTGACATCGCATCAGTTTCGATGACTCTTCCCCAAAAGGATCTTGCTCCCATGCCTGTGATCGATCCCTCTGCTATCTGCGCCCTTGGGCTGAGCATTGCCCTCTCCCTGCTGTGCATGCTCAAAGGCAAATAGCCCTGGGAGGGGCGTCACAGTCACAGAACACTTGGACACCTTCCGGGAAGGAGCTTCCCAGACTCCCCATCTCTGTGGGAGAGGCCTGGGGATCTGGGGATCATCAGAAACACTGAAGGGGAGACATCCGGCACCAAATAAGATCCATGGCAACCCCAGAGAGTTACGGAGCTTTCTGAGCCCCTTCTCCCCATCACCTCACTTACCCCTCGCATGCTCCTGGGATCCTGTCACCCCTGCGGGTCCATGGTAGCCCCAAGAAATTACACTTTGCTGATATTAGAGTTTTGCCTACAATGGGCAGGGCCGTAGGGGCAATACACTGGCTTTAGATAAAGTCTTGGGCAACTCTAGCACTGAGTCTCAGCCAGCTGGGCAACCCTGGACAAGTCTCTTAACCTCCTCAGAGCCTCACTTAAAAACCGAGCAGTCACATCCCTATCCCGCAGGGCTTTTAAAACTGCTCTATAAATGCGAGAATGTATTTCTTCAGCAATAATAACAGCCAATACCAGCATGCATTCCCTGGGTCCTTACTGTGTTCCAGGCACTGCTCTAGATCGCTGGTATGTGTGCTTTCCCTCAATGTTCACAACACCCCTGTGAAGCAGGACTTCTATGTTATTCCCGATAATAAAAGTGGAAATTGGATCTCAGAGAGGTTAAGTAACTGGCCCAAGTTTGCACAGCTGGTAAGTGACAGAGCCAGGCTTTGAACACAAGCAGGCTGAGAAGCCAAGGGGAGGGGAGCATCTGTAGTGAGCTGGGCCCAGAGATACCCAAACAAATAAAACCAAAGAAGCCTGGGGTCCAGACTCAGACTTTTGCACACATCAGAATCATCTAGGGAAATTACTTAAAAGGCAGAATCCTGGGCCCTACCCACAGAGATGTGGGTTCCACAGGTTCAGGGTGGGGCTGGGAATCGGCCTTGGTAACACGCCCCCAGGATGACATCTGCGCAGAGGGTCAGCTAACCGCACAGGGAGGACTGTGGCAGGTGTCCAGCAAACCATCAGTAAGAGTAGCTCAGTAAGTGAGGGTTGTAGGCTCTAGAGGACCCTGAAGCTTCAGGTAGGAGGCCACAGTGGGACCCACCTTCCGCCTCTGGCTTCCAGGTTTGCCAAGTACTACAAGATGGAGAATGGCAGTGAGTACCGCACACTCCTGAAGGCTTTTGGCATCCGCTTTGACGTGCTGGTGTATGGGAACGTGAGTCCTTGGGCCAGGGAGAGCAGGGGGAGGACAGGGGAGGAAACCCGGACCAGTCTTGGGCCCTCAAGAACCTCCTCCCGGGGGCCAAGGTCCTGCCACTGACCAGCTCTAAGAGCCTCAGTGAATCACATCTCTAGTCTCTTCACCAATGCGGTCAAGGGCTGGGGCCTCCTGGTCTACCAAGAAACCTCCACTCCACGGTCTCTTGGGCTGGGAGTCCACATTCAGCCTCAAGCCTCAGGACCTCGTGCTAGACCCTCGGCCCACCTGCCTTGGTCTTTCTGCTTGCAGGCTGGCAAGTTCAACATCATCCCCACCATCATCAGCTCTGTGGCAGCCTTCACCTCCGTGGGAGTGGTGAGTTCAGCCCCTCCAGGCTCAGACAGGAGACCAATCAAGGTGGGGCCCCAGCTGGGGGTGGGGGCAGGTAAGCCCTGCTTCTGCCTAGAATGGAAAGCCTGACCTCTGGCCAGGTGCCTCAGTCTCCCTCACCGCCTCCCTGCTGGGTCAGTCCTTGAGTGAACGTCTCTGGTCACGGAGAGCTCATTGGAGAGGTGGGTGATGAAGACATTCTGCAAAGCCCTCCCACAGCAGCCTCCCCATTTGCAGGAGGCTCCACCTGGTATAAATTTCCTGCTCCCCACCATGAAGGTGAGGGAGGAGACTCCAGGGTTCCACAGACCAAAGGAACAGAGCCCTGCTCCCAAGGGACTTTTACCCCCTCACCCTCTGCTTCTCCCACCAAGTCCTCTCTCTGCCTTTTTGTCTGCGGTCACTGCCAAGAGCTGGAGAGGTGGGTGATGAAGACATTCTGCAAAGCCCCTGGATGTTTTTCCAAGTGGAAACATCAGTCGGGTGTCTTTGGAGGACTCACCCCAACCCCTGGCCTGCTGTCTGCCTGAGGGCGATCCTGCCCACTGCCCGGGCCACTCCATGGCCACCTGAGCCTGCTGCTTCCCACCCCACTGAGCCCACTCGGCCTCTTCTCCTGCAGGGGACTGTCCTCTGTGACATCATCCTGCTCAACTTCCTCAAGGGGGCCGACCAGTACAAAGCCAAGAAGTTTGAGGAGGTGAGCTGGAGGGGAGGGCTGGGGTGGGGCACGAGAGGTAAAGGGATAGGGCAGGGAGGGGCACTAGACCCCAAGGGGCTCTCAGTGGCTCCCCCTTTTGGGGGCTTCTTAAGGGGAGTTCATGGGACCTCAATGCAAATTGAGGGATTCAGCCAAGAATGGGCTCTGGGGGGGCTCTGTGGCTCATCACCGCCGACACCCCTATCCACTCACTGTCCCCTCTCCATTTCTGGGGCAGGACAGCTATGGGTTAGCTCAGGTTTCTGTTGGCCCATGAGGTTCATGGAAGGACTGCTGGGGTCACACAGACTTGCTGGAACTCCCTGATAGTGAGCACAATGACGCTCAGAGGATGATAATGCCAGCCCTTCTGCTTGCAGGTGGATGAGACAATGCTGAAAGTCACTGCCTCAGCCCACCCAGTGTGCCCCAGCGACCAGACCACCGAGGAGAAGCAGTCCACGGATTCGGGGGCCTTCTCCATCGGCCACTAAGGCCTCTTCCAGGGCCCCAGGCTCACCCCTGGGCTCCAGGCCTCCCGATAGGGCACCCCACCCGGGCGAGGGAGGATGGAAAGGGGCGAGGCTTTCATTTCTGCTGCTTACCCCACAAAGCCACGCCGGACCCAGGTGTCTGGGCTTCCCAGTGCCCTGGCAGACAGGTAGTAGCCCTGCTAAGACCTCCATCTCCCCTTCACCCCTTGCCTTGCCCCTGTCAGCTTCCCAGGAGCCCCAGGGCAGCAGCACCTGAGTTGTCCCCCTTCTGAAGAGTAGAGAACGTAATAGTAATAACAGGTGGTCACAAGGCACTACCAAGTGCCAGGCAGCATCACACACATTATCTCATTTAACCCTTAGAATAATCCGATGAGGTAGATAATAGTTTCCCTGTTTTGAAGCTGAACTGAGGCTCAGAGAGACTGAGTCATTTGCCCAAGGCCACACAGCCAAGAAGCAAGAGGGCTGCGATTTGAACCCAGATCTAACTCCATCACCCACGCCCACAAGAGAAGAGTGAACTCCCAGGGGTCATCGGCCCCTGTGGCTTCAGCCTTCCCCACAGTGACCTGGATTAGGTTCTGCTTAATAAAGAGTAAGCCCCGTGCTTTCAATAGGAACTCGGGCCCCATTTTAGTGGAGACCAGTTAGATAGTGATGCAGGTCTCTCTCTCTGACTTGGGTGGATCCCCAATTCAGAAGTAAAGAGGAGGCATGACTTAGCTCTGTCCCCAACCAGGGAAGGGCCATTCTGTTCTCTCTCTGGGCCCCCCACTCCAGCAGTGGAATTAGGCCACCCCTAGGGTGGGCGTGATTCCCAGACCCAGGCCCTTTTCTCAGCGGGCCGTGCTCCTTTATGACGCTGGTGAACAGGCTGCAGTGAGGCCCGATGCCCTGTGAGCAGGTGGTCAGCCAGGACACCCCCCACGGGGTCCTAATCGGTGGTCAGTGTTCAAGTGCTAGAATCCCTATTGTCCCACTCTCCTGTTTACAGATGAGCAGTCCGAGGCCAGAGAGGGGAAATGACTTGGGTCACACAGTTAGTGGCCAAACGAGAACCCAGGTGTCCTGGCAAGAGCAAGGAGCCAGAAAGCCTGCTGTGGGAGCATCTAGTCCCCCCACACCTCTGTCAGCCTGGCGTCCCCTCCCCGTTCTGTGCTCTCCTCCAGTGAGAGGCCCGGGAGTCTCCCCAGGGCAGAGCTCAGGAGCAGACCCAGGTCTTCGGAAGACTGAAGCATATACAATTTAGGGCATCTTTTCAAAATAATACGAAATTAGGTGTTAGAAGGGGCTCATGCATGAGGGTGGCCCTGAAGGACGAATTTCATTAGCCCCACTGTCTGGAGGCGTCTGGAAAAGTTGGAGTGCAGGCATGACCATGTGGTCTGAGCTGCAAGGAGCTTGCCTGCAGATGGAGGGCCGGCCCCTCTACAGAAGGCGCAGGGAGATGGCGGGGTATGGGGGGGACAGCTTTGGAAGTCATTTGGAAGGGACTGGTTTAGGGGCAGCGGGCACTTGCAAAGGCCTGACCCCAGTGATGCCCCCCTCTGGGGGAAAGGGCTCAGATTCCGTCGCAGGAGGCCCATCGCGCCTTCCCCTGCTCGGCCTTCACCCCAGCTCATCCTCAGACTGGTGGGATCACACCTCCCCAGGGGTGGCCTCGGGCATCAGGCCGTGTCCAGAGGTCTGAGCAGCAGAGACATCAGCGGAGGCCGTGTTCTGCACCCGGGAGGCCCACAGGCAGCCCCGGCAGGGGCACAGGGGTGTTCCCTGCAGAGGAGACTGCAGCAACCGTGCCCTCCCTTCCCTCCGGACCGGGGTGGCCCTCCCGCGGGTACAGCAGCCACTCCCGGGCCTGCCAGCAAGCGTGTGAACTCGGGGCGGCGACCCGCCATGCGGGCCACACGGAGCTGAGCCACGGCTTCTGGGCGCTAGATGGACAGCTGTCGTCTGTAGTAGCGACAGCCGCTGGCTGGACCCTGCCGCATCCCCAACGCGCCAACCCTGCTGGGGTTGCCGTGGCTTGTCACTAATCCTACCGGATGGAAAAAGAAATCTGGAATCCGTGGAAGTTTGAACTGGAGCCCATACTCACTCCTAGCAGTTGTGTCTGTAGTTACCCGGCATAAAAGCTAACATTTAGAGACAACTCACCTCTGCTGAGCAATGGGCGGGGTGCGCGACAAGGGTCGTCTACTGTGACCCTCCTTTTACAGAAGGGGGACTGAGGCTTAGTAAGGGGAAGAGACTGAGCCGGCAGAGCTGGGCCTCCAGCCCCGAGCTTTATGGCTCCGGAGTCTGCGATCTTGACTTCTGTGCCACGGCTGTCTGAGAAAAACCAGGACATCCATGGGCCCCTTCCTTTCGGTATGTGTTGGGCTAAACGAGGTGTCTGGGCTGCAGGACCAAGGAAATAGCAGAACCCAAAAGTTTCACATCACACAGTGGGCCAGACAGCCCGCTCCCCCTGCCTGGTGGCTGTCCCATCCGAGACCCAGGGAGGCCGGGTCACGGGGGTAGGGAAGGGGGAACAGGAGGCTCACGGACCCCAGAAAGGCCAGGCCCCGAAGATGCTTACAGCACCTCCACACCCACCACACAGGCCAGGCTCAGCGGCAGGCTGCAGAGCCCAACTTCACCGCAAGGAAGACTGGGAAACAGTCCTCCTGGGTCCTCGGGAGGAGGGAACGGTGCACACAGCACCCTCCGCTGCATTATCCCCCTCTTCTCCACAACCCCCCCCCCAGCCCACGGCCACTGACAGTTACACACACCCTTCCCTCCTGTGTTCCTTCTCACAAAACCTTGTTCTCCACCAGTTACCCATCAACCTCCCAGAGGTTTTAATAGATAACACCCTCAGGAGTTTCTTCTCCCAAGAGTATTCGCCTTTTAATCAAGGGCTATACAAGACTGAAAGGCCTTAAACAGCCAAAGATATAAATGCGTAATGGTTGAAGTTGAAGCCCAGTAACTGACAGTGCTGGGTATTTGAGAGATATCTTATCTCCCCTGTCCTGCCTCAAGTGAGCCTCAGTCTGGAGGGGTCTGAGCCCTGCTCAGTTCCCCTCCCTGCCTCTATCTCTTGCGTTGGCTGGCAAGATACTGGGCTACTGGTGTTGGCTACTGCTCATTCCCCATCCAGGAGATAAGTGGAGGCTGATAAAAGCAAAAATACCGGTCCCAGAGCTCCCTATGCAGATCTTCCCTTACCGAGCATCCTCCCACCACCCCCAGCGGGATTCCACTGTCCTTCCAGAAGCAGAGAGTCAAGAATTAGCTTGTTAAAGTATGCAAGGAAGGGACCTGGGGGGAGGAGGGTCTGACCCCCAGGGAGCCCCCTGTCTCTGCCCCTGGGAAGACCAACATGCTGTGATTAGCTTCCCGGCTCAGTGTCCATCCAGGGCAGATGGACAGACCCCTCTCCTGAGGAGAGGCCTCTACACTAGAGGCAGTCCCTGGGCCCAGCACTGGTGATGTTCATTGCAATGCCCAGGCCCATCCTGCTGCCAGGGGCCTGCTCATGTTCACTGTCTCATCTCCTGCTTTTTCACCACCTCCTTCCCCTGGGGGTCTCCATTCCTGACCTATGCCATTAACTCCTGCCCCTTTAGCAGCAAAGCCCATCTGAGAATACTGTTCTTTTTGTTCCTGAAACTCTGCATCCCATCACGTGCCTGGACAGATACATGTACACACAGACGTGGACCTGTACATGCGTACGCACATATACGCACATATACGCACACTCACAAACGTACTGGTACACACATACACAGGCAGGGGGCAGAGCGATACAGACGAACACAACACCCAGGTGTATCCATAAATACACGGAGGCTCGTACAGATTTATGCATATCATCTAGCTAGCTAGCTCTGTGCCTCAGCCTCTCTCCCTGCAATCTCCGCCCCCCAACAACCCAGGGCTCTCTGCCCTCTTAATACCCAGTCTCAGGTGCGAGCTTCCTGCCTATCAACCCCAGCATCCTGCCTGGAACGAAGAGCTGCAGCGGTGTTCTCCCTCCATCTGTCTATCTGGGTCCCCGGAGTCTGAGACAGTGAGGTGAGGGAAAGCAGCGGCGCGGGGGGGGGGGGGGGGGGGGGGGGGGGGGGGGGGTCGCTAGAGCTCGAGAATAGGGACGGGAGCCACACTGCTCCCTGATGCTGTAACTTTTGCCCCAAGGCCCTCCAGGTGGGAGGCAGCTCCCATCTGAGAATGTCTTCTCTCTAGGGAGGTCAGCGGGGGATAGGGGAGAGGGAGAAGGGATTGGGGTGGGGGACACACCTGGGAAAGGAGTGGAGGACCCGTCTCAGGAGCGGGGGACTTGGAACTCAGCCACAGGTGGCTGGGAGAATAGAAAACAGGGGCCAGTGTCTGGGAGGCCAGGAAGATCCAGGGCTAGAGGAGCCGGCTGCCCTAGAGGAGACTTCCTCCCTCCCACGTGGTTCCCCCAGGTGGGATCTCACTACGCCCCATGCACACCCCAGTTCATGAATGAGTGACATCCCCTCCACATTGGAAAGTTGTCCCACTCCCGCCCCCCGCCCCCGGCACCCCTTACGGGAGCCAAAAAAGCAAGAGGGCCCATCTCGCGTGGTGCACAAATAAGGCGGTCCCCCGGCGCCTGGGGAGTGGGTGGAAGTGGAGGAGGCCAGGCGGAGAAGAGCCATGGGGAGCCCACCACCACCCCCCGGGGGCCCCAGCTGCTCCAGCTGTGCTTCCCGGCCCGCCCCGCGGCAGGGAGCCGTCCACAGCTCCACCGGCAGCCCTCCAATGTGCGCGATAATGAGACAGAGTCGGGAAAGTCTGGGTTTACGGCCAGGAGTGGCTGGGGGACAGCCTGGGGGTTCTGGGGGCTGCCGGGAGTGGTGAAGGGAGGGGGCTCCAAGACAGGGGCTCCGCGCCTCGAGCCTCGGGCTTAGAAGGAGCAGACGAAGGGCAGACTCCTTTTGAATGAAGTCCACTGTCAGTGTCCCCCCAGCAGTGGAGAGCACGGTGACATCAGCTGCCACCTGTGCGGCGTATGGCCCTCGTTCCCTCTCCAGCTGGCCGTGGTCAGGACTGTCAGTTGTGCTCCCCGCGTGTCCCTTCTAGCTAAGGTGCATCCGGCTCTTCCCGAGGGAGGAGGGAGGCAGTGTGCTAAGTGCTGCCTGTGGGCTATTGCACTTGATCCTCACAGTGACCCCAACAGGTAGATGTTATCATCATCCCCATTTCACAGATGGGGAAAGTGAGGCTTAGTGGGGGTGATAACTTGCCTGGGTCTCAGCCTGCAAGAGGCAGAGCCGGATGTGGATGGCAGCAGGCTTCCTCCGGCACATACGGTCTTAGCCATGGTGCTAGCTCCCTCACATCTGGCTTCCATGCTGTTCAAACTGGTGAATTATCCGTCAGCCAGCCCTGATTCCCACATTTTGCCTTCGTCCCTTGTCCATACCTTGCATTCACATCTGCTCCTGTCATCTGTCGCGTCAGTCACTCCTCGTGGCCCTCATATCAGAGGAAGGAAAGCAGCCCCCAGGCCCCGAGCCTAGCGCTGCCGGTGAGGATGGAGAGCCTCCATCTAGCTCCCATACAGGGCCCCCCATCGCCTGGTTTTGCTTTGAGGAATCCCTACATTTCAGCCCCCCTCACAGAGGACGTGGCTTCTCCAGTTGGGGGAAGGTGTGAGTTTGGGGAGGTGTGTTCAGGGACCTCAAAGGGACAGTGTGTAAGAGTCTACCTTGTCCCCCCTTCCCCTTGCCCTGGTCCCCAGTTCCCCTCACCTCTGGTGCATAGGGCCACACAGTTGCCTTCCCCATTCGCAGGCTGCCCTGGGGCCCAGTATCCAAAATTCCCGCAGCTCCCATCAGTCTAATGAAATCTCTGGCACAGGAACTAACGAAGTGATAGGCTGGGTCAGAGGGCTGAGGTCCAGGGAGACAGATCCAGGAGCCTCAGAGAAGGCTCGTTGAGTGTTCCTTCCTCCTCTCACCGCCCACCCAGACAGGAGCCAGAGTCGCTAGAGACCCATGCCTGAGGGCTTGCAGGCAATGCCAGTACCCCCGGCCATCACACAGAGCAGGCTTCTCCATCTTTCCTGTGCATACAGATCTCCTGGGGATCTTGTTAAAATGCAGGTTCTGATTCAGGAGCTCTAGGGCGGGGCCCAAGATCGGGCATTCCTAACAAGCTACCTGGTTTGCCGACACTGCTGGTCCAGGGACCACGCTTGAGAAGCAAGTATAATGGCACCTATTCATCCACAATCCCAGAGCTGCCTTGAGAGAAGTGGTCTATTTTAGAGATGAAGAAACTGGGACTCCAAGGAAGTCATCCAGCTAGTAGGTCACTAAGCTGGCCATGGAGCCTATCTCCTGACTCCAGTGATGCGCCGGGAAACGTTCGGCAGCCAGCTCTGGGGGACGGTGAGAACACAAAGGGCGGGAGGAACCCCGATTTACAACAACTGCCCATTTCCTTGGTGTGCGTACGTCCACGGGGGGGCAGATTTCAAGCTACAGGCATGAGGTCCGTGAGCATGGAGCTGGGACAAGATGCCCAGAATCATCGGTCCTCCTGATCCAGTCCAAGCCAGCTCCAGCGCAGCCCTGCCCGCTGCTCGAGGCTGGCCTCCGCTGCTGAGATGCGGCTAGCCGGCCAGGAGGGGCTCCCTGGAGGCGGTCAGAGAGAACTTCCTGTCCCCGCGGAGGGTGGTGCCTCGCTTACCCAGCCCTTGAGCATGCCTCCGATCCAGACCTGGCCTTCGTTGACCCTCTGACCGTGCACAGGACGCGGTAATCTAAGTTGTAGTTGTGTATGGAGACAAGGTTGTCCCTGCAGCACCTTCTGCAGACATTCGGCAGAAAGACGAAAATGTAGGGTAGAGAACTCGCTGGTTTTTCTCAAGTCTCTGAGCCTCCAGGAGAGAGCTTCTCATCCCTTTGCAGGTCAGAAATCAGTGACCTACTTGCCCCTCTCAATCCCATCTTGTGTCCCTTCTCTGTGGTCAGAACTTTTTGCAAAAACTAATGATACTCGGAACAATCATAGCTACCATTTGCTGAGAGTTTTAGTGACCCAGGGACTATTCCAAATACTTCCATGTATTATCTGATTTAATCCTCAACCACAGCCCTAACAGGTTGGTACTGTATATCTCCA